ACTGTAAATCCTACATAGCCCAAATCCAAAGTCAAGAGCTCCAAATGAATATCTTAATCCCACCATTTTGTCCAAGTGGTTTGGCTTTCTACGTATTGGGCACTCTCTTATCAGCTCGTCCCTGTCAGTATGCAGTTCTTGGTCAGTACTGCTTAAGCGCCCCAGGTTCTAGTCTGCTTTGCTCTTCTCTGAGCCTCCCAATGTGGCGAGCTGGTGAGGATAATACCTCTAGATGCAACCATGTGGAGTGAGCATCTCTATAGTGATCTCATTAGACTAGCCTCTAATTAAATCCCGACTTCATTTACACTTTGCACCATGATTGATTGACGGACTTCATCTATCACATCACTTGTACTGGACAAACTACTCACATGAAACATGACACACACACACACACACAAACACACAGTCTATTCAGACATCAGCAGGAATCATAAGTGACAGGCTGAGAAATTAGCTCTGTGTGCTCATGCAGAAACGTGTGAATGTGTGTGTGTGTGTGTGTGTGTGTGTGTGTGTGTCCACTTCCATACACATCTGTACTCATGGTGCTACATCCTTAACTTTCTCCTTTCTTTTTGTTGTTGGTTTATTTAGCATGGCAATGTGCCCATTGATAAAACATTGTTGTAACTGTTAGCCAAGAGGCTGTTTTTCATCTCTAGTCCCTGGACAGAGGTTACAAAGTCACCTTAAAAACAGGATATAAGATTGAAATTATATTTATTAAGATCATTTATAAGCAAAAGGAAATGTTAATAGAAAACATAATTCTGAACACCCTTATACTAAATAGTGTAAAAGTCTTTCTTTCTCATCCCTATTTCTTACATTCTTACTTTCTACTTACTTTCTACTTACCTCCTTTATTCTTACTTTTTTCATCGTACTTTTCCTTTCTCGCCCCCTCTTTCACCCCAATCATGGGTCTGACATGTTTTTATCAGCAGTAATAGATTTCATTTCACCTAGACAAGCCTCAGCCTGCAGATTAAAACCTCTAACCAACTGAGCCCCTCGCTGCTAAATCACTTTTACTGCTGCTCTGCCGTGATGCTGCATGCGTGTATTTGAGTGTGGTTGAGATAGAGAGACATCACTCAAGAATATGCACATCTGAGGATTTGGAGACTTTGATGTGTACAGTAAATATCTTTGATGTTTCCATTCTAAATACTATGATTGTCCATTTCTTTCCTCTCTGTCTGACAGCAGTGACCCAGCAGTGATCTGACCTGTTTCACTGATTATTTCTAGCAAAGCTGAAAATGTGTTTGCAGAAGCACTGGACAGTTAGAATAACTAATGACAGCTATCATGGCTGAATATACAATGAAAGTGTAAATCAGCGTCATCTCCCAAAACTCAAACTTCATTAACAGAAATCCTAGAAACATATGCATTCATTGATTCATATAATTAATCAGGTAGACACAGTTATAACATCTTTACAATCTTACACAACCAACAGCACTACTATAAATATGTTTGTGAGGTTTATAATATAATTATGTTGTTGTGATTATATCAGAGAAAAGCTGTATTTTTTTTGCATTACACTGTAGGCACAGGTGTTCCTATTATTTTGTCCACCCTGCGACATTAGTTTGTGTGTGGGTGTGTGTCGGTTCATGTGTAATGAAGCAAACACACTGTGTTACAGAAAGACAGTGTTCTCGTGGTGCCACCTTGTGGAGAAAAACGTGTCTTCAATTAAACTATACTTGCCATTTCTTCCAATTCCTCACATTTCCTGCTTCCTTTGCTTCTTCCTTCATTCTTCCCTCCTCAGAGATGTTCATGCAGTGTGGCTATCCAGCGGTGTGACCTCTCACCTTTGACTCCTGATTTGACTTCTCTTCACTCTTACAACCTTCAAACACTCTCCTGATGTAAGTCTAATGTAATCTATCTATCTATCTATCTATCTATCTATCTATCTATCTATCTGTCTATCTGTCTATCTGTCTA